GGCTGGAGGGGACTGCTGGGCACAACTCTTCACAAACAGGAGTTGCTCCTTTTGGAGCTGGCATTTTCATAAGGCATTCGAGCGCGGCCGAACTCGGCCGATCGATCATGAGATTTCGTGGCTGAGATCAGCCGCGCGGAGCTAGTATGACCCCTGTGCAAGGATGACACGCACAAATCGAGAACTGGTTCGAGTTTTTTTTTTTGGACCATAACTGCGACTGAACTTTGATCTGATCCAGTGGCCTACCTCAGTTGGTAAGGCACGCAAGTAGCATTCAATAAGTTTTGGGTTCAATCCCCATTGGCCTCATGTACCTTCCTGGGCAAGCTTGGTGCCCGCCACCTAGAGATATGTCGTTGGTCCCCCCGAGTGGCATTGAGCAGAGACTGCTGATGTTCATAGGGGGAGAGGACCGAAGGGGAGACACGGTGACTGGCCCAGCCAATAGGCTCGGTCCTGATGCTACGGGCTGACCCCTAGCTGGTATCGCCCACCTGCTGTAGCTGGTATCGCACCTGTTGGTGGGTGCAGCTCCCTCATGTTCCTTCATTGGAGGCTTGGGCACGGATGTGGCTGCTATAGGGGTTCCCCGTAATACTATAAGAAAGAAAAAAAAAAACGGATCTGCATCATATGAGACATGGCTGAAAAGCCACAGGGAGTGACGTGACAGTTGGCTTAGGCCAACGGAGAAAGAAAGAAAAAAAAAAGGGGGGTTGAAAAAATGAAGGGCTATGTGGAGCGCTGGGAAATGGCAGGGAACTTATAGTCTCCGAAGGGTGTTGCAGGCACCCGTTCTGTTTCCAAGGTGAGTTTTTTCTTTTGTTTTTTTTTTATATATAGATTTTGTTTTAGATCTTTTCTAAATTTCTTTTCTCTTTAGATCCCTCCCTCTCGTTGCTTTCTACTACTTAGGGCCGAGGTCCCACCAGCAAAAAGGATAGGATCGAGTTTCCGAATCTAGATGGGTTTTATGCAGAGATGCAGAAAAACAGTTCAATCTCGATTTCTGCACTTCTCCATAACTTCGTCCAGATTCGGGCATATGACCCAATCCTCCTTGCTAGCTGGTGCCCGTTCGTTTCAACGAACAGGCCACAAAAAAAAAAAAGAAAAAAAAAAGGGAGGGAATCAAAACGCCACATGGCGTAAATGGAAGTGACTGGGCCACTTAAGTCCCCAGTGCACTTGAAGGTGCCCGTTCTGAACGGGAGACCGTTTGCAGGTAGGTCTGTTTTTTCCCTTTTATTTATTTATTTATTTTTTAGACTCCTTAGATTTTTTTTCAGATTGTTTTTTTTTTCCCTCTTTTCCTTAGCCCCCCCCGCTAACGTCGTAGCAGTGGACAGCTGCACCCGTTCGTATTTAGAAACAGGCAGCAACTGTCCACCATTGCCCGAACCAAGAGCTGATGGCGCCCAGATGCGGGCGCGCAGAGAGGGAGAGAAAGAGAGGGAGAGTGACCTTACCTGGCGGCCGTTGGTTCACGATGGCAACAGCCAACAGGTAAGTCATGCAAGTCGAGCAGCCCATTTGGCTCTGTGCCCGTTCACTTACTGAACAGGCTGCAGAGCGTCGCCTGCACCTGGCACCGTGGGCGTCCGGGTACGGGCGCGTTGGGCAAGAGGGGGAGACCCCTCTGAGCTTGACTCTAGTCCGACACTGTGAAATGGCTTGGTGAAAGGAGGCAGCTCAAAAACGAGCTGCCCCTTTCAAAAAGAAAAAAAAAAGAAGAAGAAAGGGGGAAAAAGTTGTGCACCTGGCTGTGGGTGCAGCACAGGTGCGCACCCCGTGGGATTGGACAGGCAGATGCCTGTTCGAAGTGAACAGGCTCCTGCACATGGTTGGATTCAGCCAATTTAAGGCCGAATCCGTCTTGAATGACAGACTAGGTGCGGTACCTGAGCCTGGGAGTGGTTTTCTCCACCCAGAGATCAAGTTTCAGCCCTTGATCGCGATGCAGATCATGGGCTGAGCTCAGATCCGAGTTTTGGCTGAGGCAAAGTGGCTGCCTCAGCCACTTCTCTGGCTATAAAAACAGCCTCCAGCCCCAGCAGCCAAGCATTCTTGGCAGYARTGYTGGGCTCTCACTTGTGAGATTGCTGGCTGGCTGCGGARAAGTGAGGCGGAGSGGAGCTGCTGGCGGCGGAGGAGGAGGACTGCAGGAGGAAGGGGAAGGTGGCCATARHTRTAKAATGCAGCCATAGCYGCCGTCACAGCGAGGAGGAAGGGAGGAGGTGCTGGAGGTSTGYAGGAAGGGTGAAAGGAGAAGGTGGAGGCTGCCATAGCCACRACCTTGGTGAAYARTGGGGTGCAGGGAAGGTRCTGCCCGTCRGGCATGGTGGCGGCATWTATTTTTRGTAGCAAAGCAGAGAAGKTGTTGCWTGTTCAAYGYGGTGTTGGYAGCCATTTTTTATGAGGTACAAGGGTGATGCTGCGCCGCSTTGCGACGAMKGCAACACGTTCAGATGGTAGCGTGAAAGCGCTGCTGAAATTTTGCGGCAACAACGCCGGGTTTGACGCTGGTAGTGCGGAAGCGCTGCTGAAAATTTGCGGCAGCAGCATTGGGTTTGACGACGGTGGTGCAGTAGCGCTGCCAGTTTCTCATGGTAGAGGTGGCAATATTTTTACACCGACTATATAAGGCGGCGTCTGGGCATTAGCGCAGGGAAGGTAGCGCGAAGTGGTGGTGCGCTTGAAAGTGGTGTGAGTGCGACGCCGTAGTGGCACAGTGAAATTGGGGGTGTGCACCGGCGACGCTGTCAGATCACTGGGAGATGACTGGGTGTTGAGAGGGTGTCGCGTCAAGCGATCGTTCTACAAAGTAGTGTGGATCGTTTTGCGGGCGACTCATTGTGACGATTTTCTTCTCTGGAGTGTGATTTTACACATTCTTCTCGAGTGGGCCGTTTTTTTTTAACTTCATTCAAGGTCAGTTGTTTGACTCAGACCCCTTCACACTCCTGTGTGAACCCACACTTGCTTGGCCCTATTCTTTGAATGTTCACTGGATAGGTAGAGAAAATGTGTGTTTGCGTGTGTGAATGAAAGTCTGACGTGAGTGTGAATTGCATTGTTTTCCTTTGAACTTGTTGTTTGATCTGATGTGCAGGTAGGTAGAAGAAAGCTTGAAAACAAAATTGCCCATGTCAATGAAAATGGGGACAGGGTGTTTGTCTTCTATCATTTGTTTGCATGTTTGTCACAAGAGAGAAAATCAGTTGACGACGATAAAAAGAACGATCGCACAAAAAAAAAAAAAAAAAAAAAAAACCTTAGTCGGACATGGAATCGTTCCCGATGTTACCCATTCTTTCCCGAATTACCACCTTTGTCTATGCCCGTCTGTCTGAATGCTTTTCTTCTTTGTGATTTTCTTCTTCGTCTAGGTTCACCTTGACGTCAGGCGGCAAGGGGTTGATCGTCTGCCGTGGTAGAGGCGTTTCCTTTCCCTAGGAGGCATCTGAGGCGGGGGTTCGTTGCCTTAGGGGCCGGCCCTGTGATCGACTCGGAGTGGACCGCACTGCGGGGGGATACCATGCTGTTGTGGCGGAGCCGGCCCGACTTCTGAGATCCGAGGTTCACTCAGGCGAGGACGAGGGGTATCCCAGACCACCTCCTAGGGGATGGACATGCGCTATTCACGGAAGACGTTAAGTCATGGTCGGCTTACGCTAAGGAGGACCGTCATAGTTTACCCTTTGTGGCCGTCTTAGGAGCCACAGAGGAATGGAGAACTGACGCCATAAGAAGCCCAATTCATGTTTTCGTTAGTTATGAGTGAAGTGCATGTAGGCACCATCTTCTCGGATAGGTTTGCACCATAAGAAGTGCAAGCCTGGGGTCATCAGGCTAGTTGACAGAAGGTAACGACTAAAGTGTTGCTTCGAATGTCTTTGTGTCGGAGGCGGGTACGTCATCATTCATAGAACAACAAGAGTAATTGTTTCCCAAAGGCAAGGTGGACCCTGTCTTTGGCGAAGTGATCAGTGTGTCAGTTGTTCGAGTTGGTCGATGACTTGTATAGGTGGTAGTCGAGTTATTTGCAGATGGCATTCACACCAAAGTTAGGGTAGGAGCATGGTCATCACTGGTGCGATGGCATCCTAGCTTTAATCGAGTATTGGGATTTGTCTGGATTCGTGCTTGTAGTCCGCATGCGGTGGAATGAAAGAACTCGACAACGCATCTCATCGAGTCGGAAAAGTCGTGACAATCCAACCGTCTGACAAGTAGAGTGTAGATACTTTGGTCGGATGTCATTTGAGTTTCGCATCGTGTATAAGTCATGCTTTGTCCTTTTGTTGATAAGTGAGGTCCGAAGGCGAGTCAACTCATGTGTCTTGTCGTTGGATGAAAGTCAAATCAACCCTTGTCAAATTGATCAGGGCGAGTGGTATGCATGGTTGTATTATATATAAGTTGATCTCAGAATATATGTCAACTTACGTTGGCATGAGTCTTCTTTTGGTGTTTAACTTTTGATTGTCTTTGGAAGAAGGGACTAGGATTGATTGAGGTTTTCTTACGCTTGGAATATTACGTCCTAGTCGACTGACGTCGTTCCGATTCCTGGGAGATCACCGCTCCAGGGACGGGCGGCGTTCGGGTCCACTTGGCGTTTAACCATGTGTACCTATGCTACAGCGAATGAGCAAACGCCCTCGGTCGACCTACCTCTGCAATTGCATTATAAAAGCTTTCGCATGTGGGTCGGTAGCTCGGTAGGGATACGCCCCTAAGAGTGGTGACCGCCCCTTAGGGAAGGTAAGTTGTGCCCCGCGAGAACCTGTCCTGTCGTAGGGGACCGCGGGATGTACAGCTGGCGCACTCGGCCGGAGCGGCGAAGGGTCGACGTGGGTTACCATGTCGTCCCCGAGTTGTCTCTAAAAAGTTGAAAGCCTAAGTTTCTCCTGCGTGACGCGGCCGGGAGGGCCCTCGCTCGCGCGGGGGCCGATGCGCTCGACAGGTGGCGCCGTTGCCGGGGATAACGGCAAACTACCGTTGTCCCTGGTGGAACAACACTCGGGAATGAAGCAAGTGAAAGATTGTGCCGTAATGATTGTCTAAGAAAAAAAGTTAGTAATCTCTGAGCCTCTATAAATGTAAGGAAGGAACGTTAATAGATGTCACCAAAACTCCTAGACTGATTTCTTGGGTTTATGTTTCTAGATGGACGGTGCAGCAGGACGTCGCGACAACGTCGACGATGCGAGGAACGACATTCAAGAATTGGCACGAGTCATCCGGCAGTCGCAGCGAGAGCCCTACCCCAAGATTGATGTTCCATTGTTCGATGAGAATCATGCCTCTTCTTGGGCAGACAAGCTTGAGCAACTCGGGTATAGCAACGAATGGACGGATGAGAAGATGCTTCGCATGGTTAAGAGGTACTGTCAGGTGGAGTACCGAGATGAGATCGATGAGCTGGTGCGAATCTCCCGTAATTGGCCAGATTTTAAGGCGCGGTTGCTGGAGAAGTACCAGCTCAGCGATCGGTTACTCGACCTGCGAGATTTGAGGGCGGTGGATCGTAAGAAGTTTGGTACTACCAAATAATTCTTATCGGAGTTTGAGCGTGTGGCTCGCCTAATCCCGGATTTATCCGATAAAGATCGATGCCTCATCTTCCTTGATAACTTCAACGACGTCGAACAGTCGAAGTTGGTTGAAGGGATGCAAGGGAGGTGTGACTGGACTAAGGTCCGAGAAAATGTGCTGGTGGGGAAATTCGACGATATCCTCTACCGGCTGTTGAGGCAAGAAAAGGAGGAACGGGAGAAGGTGAAGATGGGAGAGGTAAAGGACGGTGAGATCTATAAAACTTTGACCTGCATGAGAGAAATTATGGAAGGCATGAAAGAGGAAAGGCTGAAGTTTCAAGTCATGCTGGCCAAAGAGAAAAATAGTAAGAGGAAGGGGAAAGAGCCGGTGGTAGAGGAAAGTGATAGTGAGAGCGAGGAGGAAAAGGAGCCGCCTCGTAAGTTGACAAAGGCGGATAGGAAGGTCTTGAATCAAATTCGAAGTGGACACGGGACCTCCCGTAAGCAGGGGAAGAATGGCGGACAAAATAATCAAGAAGGGAATGGCGGTGCTGGCGGTGGATCGTCTGGACAAAATTCGCAGGATCAAGGGTAGTTCCAACCACAGGGTGGAAGAGGCCGCGGTCGAGGCCGTGGGAACGAACAGCGAAGTCGTTGGGCGTGGCAACAGGAAGCCACATGTAACTATTACGCAGAAAATGGTCATATTATGCGGGTTTGCCAACTCCTGTCAAGAGATGAGAAGGAAGGAATTGTGTTCCCCACGATACGCGGTGAAGTCTTTGATTACGAAGGGAATTCAATCGACCCCAACATTGAAGGGGGTATGAGGAAGGAGGCGTTTCGCCGAATGGGTCGTCCCCTGCCGGCGACGTTCCGGATTGCTTCTCCTGAAGAAGCGCAGTTGGCCGAGGTCGAGGAGGTCATGGCTTCGTTACATATTGATGACTCGTCGACGGAACCAGAAGGGTTTAGGGAGCAAGTGGTGGAACGAGCACAAACCATCACGAGGCGGCTTGCCCGATGCTGGGACTCTATCGTCCGACTTTGCGTGGACATGGAGAAAGTCTGGCCTGGATTGCCGAATGTCTGTCTCTTCGGCGAATGGGGTGATAAAAGGGAAGATGCGTCTGGCCAAGCAGGGACGTCTGCTCCGAGAGAAACATCACAAACTGGGCCAATGGTAAGCACGATGCGACTTAGGCCTGTGCTAAAGAGGAGTGCCCCGACTGTAGCCGTGCAGACTCGGATACGGTGACGAAACGAGCAGCTTCAGAAGGAAAGAGAGTCTGAAAAGGAAGTCGAAGAAGAACCTATCCCCGTTGGTGAGAACGATGAGGATAATGAGGATGAGAAGTTGCGGGCCGAAGAGGAAGAACGGGCTCGTCGTCGTGCACTGGAAAGGGAGCCGGAGAAAGAGAAGGCCGAAGCAAACGAAAGAAGAAAAATATTTACTCGATCCCCATGGAGCACGGGGTCGATATCGAGCGACTCGTCGATAAGATTCTGGAAAGTCAGCGCGACTTGGTCACGCTGAAGGAAATTTTGGCGGTATCACCGAAGATTCGAGAAAAGTTTAAACAGCGGATGACTCGTAAGAGAGTCATGACTGTTAAGCTCGGCGAAGTCATTCCGCTGGAGGCTAACTGGTCCCCGCCTGGGACAAAGATGGATTGGCGAATTGTGTCGACCGGCCATATGAAGGTCCAGATTGGACAGGAGGAGTACTCGTCACTTGTGGATGATGGAGCCGAGATAAACATCATTCGTGAGCGTCATGCCATGAAAGCTGGGTTGAAGATCAATCGAGATGACTATGGGTTTTTGGTGGGAGCTAGTGGATCAACTCCATTTTGCGGAACAGCCAGTGGCGTTCTCGTCACGATCGGAAAGGTTAAGGTCCGTTCGTATTTCTACGTGTTACCTAGAGTGGAACACGAGGTGCTTCTGGGAAGGGCATTCCTATGTCGATCGGAGAGCATCATCATTAACAAGCATGATGRMAYCATGTTTGTAATCCTTTGTGATCCTGTCTGCGGTYATTACGAAGTGGTCMAGTGTGCGAACACWGGACCCTATTGCTCGCGGAACCGTCTGAACCCGGAATCCTATAGCTTCCCGGAGTTAGAAAAGTTGAGACGGGAGAAGGAATCGTTAGGGGAGGAGCCGAATGCTCGTGAGTTCTCGCTGACCCTGCCTGATATTGGGAAGGCAATCGATTTTGTGTCGACACATGCGGCGATTGATCCAAATGTGGTGCAAGCCTTGATGGAAGTCATCACGGACACTGGAAGCGTAGGAACTATGCGCCTCGTTTACTCCCCATCGGAGGGGAATAAGGGAGAAGATCAGGAATTGCCCTCCACCCGACGGGGTCCTTTTTTAGAGGACGCAGGCTTGACACCGGCGCCAAACGTAAGTACAAGAAAGTAGGCTTGAAGGCGAAGCCGGTACCTGTTCTGATCACTCAACAGGAGGAAGTCTATTATCATGAGGAGCGCGAGTGGATCAGAGAAATGAAAGAGAGAGGTGAAAAGGGGTCATGTCGGTTAACCAAAAAAAAAGTGGGAAGTATGATCATTGGCGAGAAGGATCTCCTTACTGAGCAGGAAAAAAAATATATCATCGATATATTGAAGGAGGAACATCTCTCATATGCGTTTGATGATGATGAGCGAGGAAGGCTGGATGTCGATAAAATCCCGATGATCAGAGTTCATACTGTACCACACGAACCATGGAATGTAAGAGGGCCACGTTATCCGAATCCGGAGGATCACCGTAAAGTGGTCG